TAAATGAAACATCGGTTTAAAGGCAATTTTAAACTTAATATGTGGGTAAATTTTATTATTTAGAATAGATTTAATTTTTTTCCTTAATTCTATAGAATGATTATCAGTAAATGGTAGAATGCAATAAACTATTCCTTTGTTTTCAACCTCTTTACAAATGTCACTTCAAAACACTTCAACATCTTGGGAAGTGTAGATAGTGAAGAAATGCTCCGCACTAAAGAAAATTTGTGGATACACAAGATGCGTCCTGAATTAAATGTTAATCAAACAACATCACCTTAGTATTGACAAAGAACCTGTAAGTTTCCCAAAGACATCTTAGTACTGAAAAAGAACCTGTAAATTTCCCAAAGACATCTTAGTACTGACAAAGAACCTGTAAATTTCTATTTATGGTTACCAGTCAATATAACATATTTGAACTATCTTGATATAGTTGTATGTCTGACTAGAAACCATTACATAGCTCATCAGGACATATAATTAACTATGTAATTCTTCAAAAAAATATGATTTAGATTAACATGTTACAATTTAGGCGATCACAGCATCAGAACATATGCTACTGAATTTAAGAAATCTACCTTATAAATAATAGTAGTAGTAGTAGACGGACCGACTTTTCTAACTTACATGTTTTCATTTTAATCTACATCTATATATCTTTATATACATTACTAATATGGTTTACCACTCAGTGTACTGCATAGTGTTTCGTATAATAATAATTTCCTTTAAATTGCACGTTTTGAAATTATGCGTTACTTAACTTTTTTGTTTTTTGTTTGAAGTTAAACACAAAGCTACACGATAGGCTATCTGTGCTTTGTCCAGCACGGGTACCAAAACCCGGTTTCTAACGGTATAAGTCCACAGACATACCGCTGTGCCATTGGGGGGCTTTGTTTTTTTTATTTAGAAATTATATCAAGAATTATCTTAATATAACTACATTATTCTACAAAATACAAAACCCAGTTTTCCTTGGCATTTGATATAATATTCCCATGTTCTAGATGAGAACTATTTTTTGAAGATATTAAGATAAGACTACTTCGTTGTTCCAAACTTCTTTGCATTGGTCATTATTTCCAGTTTTCTCGTTTCTAGCCGATATTTTCATCCTGTTATTGTTCTCCAGTATTTTGTAGTTATAACAAACATGCTTGTTTTACAGGCCTGTATCAAGCTGAAATTATTTTCTTACAATATCATTTTTAAAAGTTAAGCACCATTTTTTCACACGTTAAAACCATGTTCGCATTTTTTCTTCTTTCTTTCAACTATCCCAGCGGTAACTTGCTCTTCATACAATATATATTTCTGGCAAATCCTGGCTAGGTTTCAAGCGTTTCTTTTAAAATACTCTTATTTATTTTTCACAATTTTCAAACTCTTCGCATCATTGCGCTCGTCTCTTGTGAGTATTGTAACGTTTTTCTTAACTCTTCACCTTGCATGTCGCTGAACACGTTTCGCACTTTACGGCACTAGTACTCTGTGAAAGTAACAGTCACTCTCGCTATTCGGTCAAGAGTATTCGTGCTCCTCAGTTGCTAAGCGGTAATCTGAGGAGATAAAACGCTAGAAATTGGGTTTCAATACCCGCGGAGGGCAGAATACAGATAGCCCATTGTGTAGTTTTGCGCTTAACAACAAAGAAACAAAAGAGTAGCCGTATAAGTGGTATGTTAAAGTAATATTTAGAAAAGTAAGGTTTTATATATTTTTTCATTTAATCCAAAAATGTGGACGAATCACTACTGCCTTAGATTAAGAAATCACGGAGATGTATTATTAAAGTAAATCTTGTCAGAAAAATTATTCATTACGAAAACTAATTTGATTTCAGTGAAAATAACGTGTTTTTGCTTGTTTCAAAACTACATGATATAAAGATTAAACTAGCTGAAATTCTGTTGATTTCCATCAATTTTGCCCCCCCCCCAGTGGCACAGCGGCATGTCTGCGGACTTACAACGCTAAAATCCGGGTTTCAATACCCGTGGTGGGCAGAGCACAGATAGCCCATTGTGTAGCTTTGTACTTAATTTCAACAAACAAACAATCCATCAATTTTCACACAGTCATTAACTTGTACGTTCTGTTGATTTCCATCAATTTTCACACAATTATTAACTCCAAGTCATTGAGATTAACACTAAATTGTGATTTAAATCACTCAGTGAAAACAAACGAATATCCCATCCTCTGTCAAAGATCTGGAAAACAAAACATTTATGTCTACTTATGCACAGTCTGTTACTCTTTACTACAGAATGATACATTCATACATACACACACATGCATTCATGTTTTCTACGTAGCCCCCAACCACGTATCTCTGCAAAAACGTGGCCCGGGTGATTTTTTTTTTAGTTACTAAAATCTATGCCATCGTTGTTCCTATACATCTCAAACAATAGCACAACGCTTATTATATGATTCTCATGGCTAGTTAAATAAAATGTTGGAAACAATAGTATATTAAAAACATGCAAACCATTATTGTGTTTTTGCAATAAAAACTGGAACGGTCACGATGTAGCCAAATGCACATCTCTCTATCTGTCTCTCAAGTTTTACAAGGCAATTAAAGTTCACTAAAAACAAAAATGTTTCTCTTTTTTACCTTTCGATGTGAATGAACGTTTTTTTTTAAATATCCATAAACCTTAAAAGATTACGTTTGAATTTAGAACAAGCGTGTAATTTAAACAATGTTGTAGCCGTAACGTTGACTTGAAAATAAAACTCAGTATTGTCATAGAGAGATCGTGTTGATTTGAACACGAAAAGTAAAAACAAAAACAAAATAAAAATAGAACGTCTAGTGAGTATTTTATACTCCATTCCTCATTCTACTAACTGTGGAATCCGGTAGAGAATACAACTATTATGGCATCAAATGTTCACTGCAAATTTTGCCGATCTACCATTAAGTGATTGCGGTTCACCCCGAAAAATGGCCAGCTTAACATCTAAACCAGCACGGCTACGACCAAAGGCGCAACAGTCTTAGATGATGGAGCATTTAGTCTGTTGACGTTCGAAGACTGTCTTTTAACTGGTACCTGCTGTAGAGCTAATTCAGTAGTTTATTAACACCTATATTGCATTTCACAGATTCACTGTGCCAGCTTCGCTCACCTCTCTTTCAACAATACCTTTTAATGTTTTCAGTCTACTGTCAATTCGCTCACCTCACTTTCAACAATACCTTTATTTTTTTTCTAGTCTAATTCTGTGAATTCGCTCACCTCTCTTTCAACAATATCTTTTAATGTTTTCAGTCTACTGTAAATTCGCTCACCTCACTTTCAACAATACCTTTTATTTTTTTCAGTCTAATTCTGTCAATTCGCTCACCTCTCTTTCAACAAATACCTTTTAATGTTTTCAGTCTACTTCTGTCAATTCGCTCACCTCACTTTCAACAATACCTTTTATTTTTTTCAGTCTACTTCTGTCAAATAATATCATCAAGTACAACTTCAAGAGCTCGTGATAGGTTTCATAAATGATTTTAAACACTATATTGACCTTACTTTTTTATTATAACTTGTCTTTCTTGCAGAAAAGTCAAGGAAGATATTGCAAGTTGTCAGATACTGTTAATAATTTCTCATTGAGCGGAACATTGCCTATTGAACTTGAATGTACTACATCAGGAAACGTGTAGAAAAGACTTTTCAAAATAAGAGGTGAAATTATGCTTTAGAAAGCTTTGAAGTTTTCAAGCACAGTCTGTAATTCACAGTAAAATATGTAGGACATGCTCAGGAGTACTCTAAATGTATAAAAATAATTTCATCCAATAGTTAAACCACCCACTGGCACAGTGGTATGTCTGCGGACTTACACTGCTATCAACCGGGTTTCAATATCCGTGGTGGGCAGAGCACAGATAGCACTTTGTGTAACTTTGTGCTTAATAACAAACAACAACAATAGCTTAATATTGATTTTAAAGATAATTTTAAAATCACTATTTTAATAATACAGTATTTTTCCTGTATTTGTCCATAACAAACAAAGAAAATAAACGAACAGCGGTTTTGATATTTCGATAATCTACAGATACGAAAATATAATATCATCTGTTTCGGTATCTTTACAAAATTGAAGAAAACAAATCAGTTCGTTTCAGTTTTCGTAACATGTTGATATCAATATGAACACTATTTACAGTTAGAGTTTGTGTAACTTAGTTTGTGTTTAAAATGTTCAGTAATTTTACTACTTTTAGTTTCTGTACCCGCAGAACGATAAAAAGACAGTAGTTTTCGTATTTACAAAATGATTAAAGGACATTGGTTTCACTTGTATACTTCCAGGATAAAGAGGAGCAGTAGTTTCACTTTTAGTTTTAGCTGTGTTTGGTGGACAAGTAAAACTACAATAAGAAGATAATTTGAGTATTTCACATTGTTTGTGTTCTTAATATTTATGCGAGATATCTTCTTTTTTTTTAATTACGCACAAAGCTACACAAAGGGGCCATCTGTGCTCTGCCCACCACGGATATCGAAACCCGGTTTCTAGCGTTGTAAGTCCGTAGACATACCGCTGTGCCACTGGGGGGCGCGAGATATCATCTTTATCCTAAAAGTGGGTTTATTAAAATCCACAAGTGTATAAATTGATTGTAGTCTCTAAACACTGCCATACATAGTATTCATATTCTTGGTCATATCATATAATTCAACGATTTTTGCTTATGTAATTAACCTTCTTAAATAAATTAACGGATGTTAGTGGTTAGTAATTAAATTGTAAATCGTGTAATTTTTTATTTATTGTAGGTAGAAGTGTGAATAATTAAGTATCTGTTAAATGTACGTTGAGTGTGTATTATTGTAAAACACTCGTAATTATTTCATAATAAATTTGGTGAAATATTACTATGGGCAGAAAAACAGGGTCACGTGATCTCGGTAGCACCTACGTCATTTCTAGTGTTCTCATCTTCTCCAGACTCCCTCATAGCTCGGTTCTGCTTTACATAGTTCAGTGTTCTAGCAGCTTTACGTTGCTTATTCTACCCACGTCTGAAAAACACTACTCCCGCCTTCTCTTCCCAAATAAACAAGCTGATTAGCTCTGTAGTTTACGATTCTTTAGACAAAACCCGAGGCAGGCAGAAAGCAAGTAAACACAGATGTAGCCTCTAGTGACAGAGAGTGGCCTTCTCTCCCATCAAGAATAAGGTTGCAGGCCTTATTCTTCTTATCGACCGCGATGATTCTGCTCCGTCGACTGAAAATAGTGTACTATGTGTAATACCCTGAACTTGGACAGATTACAGAAAGAAGTTATTTGTTTCCGTACTTTTTGTCTTAATTATAAAAAGTGCAGTAATTTTAACAGATGAGGTAAGATAGTTATTAAAATATGCTAATTGAAATACTAAACGGAAATGTCTGTACTGACTTTTAATATTTCTATACTATATAACTATACATAATGTAACGATAAATTTGTTTTGTAATGCCAATTTATTTTGGCATCCCTACTTGATTTTTTCTTTTACATAATTTATTCTGGTTGTAAAAGACAAAATTTTATCGGAAATTTCCATAAAAAATGAAAAATGTTTCCCTAGTTGTCTTTTGCTGCCAGTTAGTACCAATACCAAAGTTTTTCTTTTCTAGTTAGCTATAAATATTTTCCATCATTTTCTGACGTTCATTAAATGTATTTATTGATATAAAAGGCTTTACATTTTCATTGTTTTATTTTATTTCTATCATTAAAAAGAATAAGAGGGAAATTAAGAAACTAACTAAAACATAATGTGTTTTTGAAGTTTCTTTGAACTTTTGGAGGCAAAAAAGTTTAATTTATACCAAGTTATGTACTTTCTTTTCACTGTTTCATATAATAGCTTTTTATTCTTTTGATACAATAGTTTTTTATTTTTTGTTCGGCTTTGATGTATAGTCCTTTACTCACCACTAATAACATAAAACACTCGAGAACATGGAACACTCGAGTCATCTTCCAGTGCTTGGTAGATCTATCAAAATAACATGCTGAGTAATAACTTTTAATATCTTATAAGGCCTATATCAACGTAGAGCTAGATTTGTAAAAACACCCCACTCTCAAAATGGCCGGGAAATATATTTAACAGTAATATAAACGAATTGGCTGTCTGAAAATGTAAGTTTCATCATTTCTAACTGGAATGTCTGACTTGCACTACTGGCTTTCTTTTATGTTAGTCTTCCATATTATGTAGTTTCAAAAGTCGTAAAACATATTATAAGTCTCTACTACGATGCTCCATGTCTTTAAGATATACTGGAATGTCATCAAAGTTTCCAGAAAGGCAATGATCTGCAGTGGCTTAGAATACGCAATTCATAGATATCATAAATGACTAATCCAAACGGTGTCATAATGAATTCATAGTGTTCAAATTTTGTATGAAAGGCTCTTTCTAAGAATGACATAATCATTTATACGGATTTGCCAATATTCACTGAATAGATAAATTTCTCTGAATATTGTGGCTTCTGATAACTGATCAATGATGTCTCGTCCCAAGAGTACTGAAAATTTATCCATCATAATGTTCTTAGAGTTGTTTAAAATCAACATATAGTCTTATACCATTGTCTTTTTTTTAAGCACATAATAGGATAAGATAAAGAAAATGGATGTATCATACCCATATTTAATAACATTTTAAGTTTCTTTTTCAACTCTTTCTGTACATAGGTCTGGTTCATAATTTAGCCTGTTTTTTCAATCCAATCCTTTTTTGACAAGTGAATCTGGAGGTAATTCATCTAGAAATGATTTCATTGAAATGTATTGGTAGTCATTTAACCTTTTCTGTGACGTTATTGAAGGTTGTAGATTGTTTTCGTCAATTACCCAACCAAGAACTGCGTATATTTTAAAGTTTTTGTCTTCCATACGTTTTTGACATAAGCTTTCATAGTTCACGAAACATAAATATTGCAGTATAATAACTTACGCCAATGATCGTTATCTAAAACGCAAATTATCTCCTTATTTCACTCTATTTTAGTTCTTATATACTAGATAGCCAACTTATTCTTATAATTCCATCGTATTTTAGAAGATCCATAAGCTTTATTTGTGTTTATCTCACTATCTTCCACATGTTATTGGCCACACCTGGATACCTGGTTCTCTCTGCCTCGATTTGACTATTTGATTGTTTGATATCGATTGTGTACTAGTCATTTTGTTTCGTATTAAAGTGAGGTCCATTTTCTCTGTCGTACACTGATTGAGAAATGGGTTACTACCTAGTAACATCTAAATCCCAGTGTAGGAATCTGCTGTTCATCTATACACTTACATGATGTACCTATTACCTTGTTTCATACATAAAATCTCGGGATATGATTTTTATGGGTTTATCTTCATAGACGAATGTTATGTTCTGATGTGGTATATGACAACGTTTAGAATCCGTGAATGTAGTAATTCATCTCTTTGTTTCTTGTTTAACATTTTAAAAAGTATAATTAGCATTAAAAGCAGCCTTAAAACTTATTGCTTTTTCCTATGCCTTTCTAACGTCTGTGGGTCTCTGTAAATCAATTCTTTACACAACTACGGTTTGGCACTATGTACAAAATGAAATATTTTGTCATTTTCATGCATATCAAAAACTTCCATAAATAGCTATCTAAAACTGAATATCCATGATGGCTCTAATCACACAAACGGACATTTTAAAACCAACTTTGATAAATAATATGTCCAAATAAACTGTATTTATTTCTCTATAGGCCCGGCATGACCAGGTGGTTAGGGCGCTCGATTAGCAATCTGTGGGTCGCGGGTTCGAATCCCAGTCCCACAAACATGCTCCCCTTTCAGCCGTGGGGGCGTTATAATGTGACGGTCAATCCCACTATTCGTTGGTAAAGGAGTAACCCAAGAGTTGGCGGTGGGTGATGATGACTAGCTGCCTTCCCTCTAGTCTTACACTGCTAAATTAGGGACGGATAGCGCAGATATCCCTCGTGTAGCTTTGCGCGAAATCCATAACAAACAAACAAACAATTTCTTTAACTTTTTTTATAACTAACAAACCAGTTTGATGTGTGTCCAATAATCGAAGCAACGTCTTTGAATTATTTCAACCATAGAGGTACTTTTTATTGGGTCTACCCTTAAATTTAATAAACTATGGCGAATACATGAAATTATTACATTCAGAAGAAATGGTCACAGCATTTGGACGACTTTGATATTGGCCTGGAATGTCCTTGATTATCTTATCCCATGAATAATTTCATATATTTTAGTTGTTATTCAACAGATGCATATGATTCTGAGCGTTTACGAAGTCCATCATCAATTATATTCATAAGTGAAGAGAAATATTGAATTGTTTGCATCATACTTTAAACAGATTCTCTTGGTATTCATCCTGTCATAAAATCTGTATATCATACAACTGGTGACATAACTGTAAATATAGAAGAAAGGAAATTAAATAAATCCGACTCAAATCACTCAGCCGAGAGTAATGCAGACACATTTGTAAAAGTAATCAAAACTAACGATTGAAACGAAAATTTAATGAGAAACATTTCATTATGTAAAAACATTTGCAAAAGTTTCTTTAGTGAAATTCTTGTGAAGCTACACGAAATGTTTATTCCATACTGATTTACATGTATTATTCTATAGATCTATCGTATGATGCTCATTTTGAATATTCTATATTTGATACTCCTTTGCGATATCAAACATTTTTGCTCCATCAAAGCTTAAAATCACCACAGGAAGTGCATCGTGGCACGAAATATTATGAACAGTAAAACATCTGTTTTAAATATTTACCGTTTTGTGTGATATAACTTTTTTTTTTGCTATTCGTTGATGAACAGTAATCAAATATTGGCAGTGGCTTGCCTTCCCTCTAACCTGTAACTTCAATATTAGGGACGACTAGTGCAGATATCTCCCACGTAGCTTTATGTGGAACTCATGAAACTTTTCGTGCATGTTGAATTTTTCTTATTAAATTATTTTTTAGTTGTCGGTTTTTCTTTACTGTTTTTTTTATTTTTACAAATTCGCCTACATTTTATTCAATTGATTTGTTTAACCCTAATTTACTTAATTTTATTTATTTAGTTACAGTTGTATCATCAGTTGTATAATATACTAATTTTACTGCAAGACAAATACGAAGAGTAACTATTGAATGTATGATGCAAAAACTTCGAGATTTTTTCATTTGACTTTACTTAAGGATGAACTTCATAAAACCTCACTATCATATGAATCTGAACAACAAGTTAACTAAATGTGTATAAAATTAAACTATTGTTGTGTGGTTTTTTTATATCATTTAGTAAAAATAATATGAAGTCCAGTCCATTTAACAATAAAGAATTGAATCACTTTGGTTCTTTAATAACGTTTATAACTCAACAATATTTCAATAGAAATTCCAAAATTAATATCCGCTTAAGTCACAAATATAGTTTATGTTACTTACATGCAAAATGTTTTCACTAATGGATCAATAAAAGATACACTAAGTAAATAACTTACCAACTCAGTTACTGACGAAAATATCAAAAATTGCAGTCTTAGTCCCTAAAACTCTTTCACTGACACTGAACTGATTAACTAAATATAACTTGATCAGTCTGGTATCTTTATACTGTCCTAATTTTCTAAATGCTACAGTAAGCTTTGAGATCACACAGAGGCCTATAGCTATTGAAACAAATGAAGCCATTGTGTTTTATTGTGACTGTTCATTGTCTTAGCAGATCAATATTGTATAGTTGAAGAACATTTATAACCATGTGGAAGGAATTGGCAAAAATCGTGAGACTCAGTAGATCATGACAAATATCAAGCCCCTTGCTTTCCATTCCAGAGATGTGCCATACACAACATTTTTCTCAAGGTGTTTTAATACCATTCTTACTTAAACTCTACTGTCAGCACTAGGAATCATAAATAATTTCTCAGACATGGCCGTAGAAGGTGTTTTATCGACGTCAGTCAAAAGAGCGAAAGTTTTCTTCTGATATCATCCCTTCCAAGTGACAGAATACAGTGTTCTCATTTTCTTACATGCAGTCACAAAAGGTCACCACATGGGGGATATATTCCTTGTTTTTGAAGTTCTTTATTGCTGATTTGCTTGGCCAGAGTACAACTTCAATGTTTGCTCTTCCAAATCTAAATGAGTTGACTCCAATTAATCCTTTAAGCAAAATCTGTGTAACACCAACAAATTTTAGTTTTCCATCGCCAAGTACATGTGTATCAGAATTAGTACAAGAAGAGTGTAAGTTGGTTAACCACTAAAGAGGGAATTTTTCAGAAAAAGCATATTTGTCAAATACAAGCATGG